ATATCATTTCACTTATCAGTCTCTGACGTTAAAGGGGTCTAAGTAGAAGCAAATAAATAAGGTTAAAAAATGCATGTTGGTGGAAGGAATCTTTTTAGGGTGATGGAAATGTTCTAATATTGGATTACAGTGATGGTTATACAACTCCATAAATTTACCCTAAAAAATCTTTGAATGGCACACTTAAAACAGGTGACTTTTATGGTATATAAAGTACACCTTAATAAAGCTGTTAAAATGCATATTGAAAACCTATATTTAGTAAAGAAATCCACAAGAACTATGCTATAGGTCCCGTCTTTGTAGAAAAACTGTCCTGCTTTGACCAAGATGATTTCCAGCCCTGAGCTCCTATGATATTCATTATTCCTTTCTAACTCTAATAAGTGACAAAAGTGATTCTCATCAATTACAGAATAGCATATTAAGTCCTTTTCCTCCCTAACATGGACCTTGAATGCTCCTTTGGGCTAAGCAACTGTTTAGCTCTCTTACTGATGGGTCTTGTTTAAACACAAACACAAAATCATGAGAGGCTTGAAGTAGTAGAAAATTCTACTTTCAAGCAGAAAACATCTGCCAGTGTCCAACTTCTATGCATTAAGAAGCAACAATAATTTCTGAAGACTTCACCTCCAGACTTTATTTCACTTAGGTCATTACTTTTACAGAAGAGATACCACCTACAAGTTGTAATGGCTGCCGTTTTACTTCAAAAGTGCATCAAACCACAAAATTGAATTCAAGAAGTATCTTCATAGTCTTTATTAGTGTAGCAAATTTAATCAAAGTTAGTATGGAACATGCAGAAACATGAAATACCAAGTGGTTAATTAGAAACAGATACTTATTTTGGATATAAATAATTAGATACAGCCTTCATTTATGAAGAGACAGAACTAATGACCCTGTTAGAAAAATCTACACTTCCAGTTGTCCTATCCAGCAGTGCTGATGGATCTGAGTCCGGCCTCCCATGTGACTAAAGGTTAGGTAACCTTGCCAACGTAGCCTGTGAACTCCAGGAGGCATAATGACATCTCCAGTACCACCCCAGGAAATGGAATCAGGTTCTAAAGAAAGGCAGAAAGCATGATTTTGAAGAAAACAAGTTCAAGTCAGACCGGTTTGGATGGAAGTTTTGCCTCTGATGATGACTATCTGAGTAATCTGGGCAAATTATTTTCTCTCTTTGAGTCCACTTGGTCAAGTGTATACAGGAAATAAGAAATAATATGTGAGAACACACATACACACATATATTCATGCAAACAAATTATTTGCCATAGTATCTGGTATTCAGTAAAGCTCAATAAATAGAATATAACTTAATTATTCCATCAGTAAGAGAGCTAAACAGTTACTTATAGAGAAGAATGCCCAAAAGAGAGACCATACCCAAAATCTGACCTTAATTAGAACCATCTCAAACACAAATGTTTCTAAGTACATAAAGAGCTTAGCTCAAAATGTTGACAATTTCAGAGACCTAAATGGGCTAGGTCCTTTTAATTTAACAAATATTTTTCTGTTGATACTAAAATCTGAATTGTCTTAATGCTACAAGCCTCTTTAGGTAGAAGGTCCTCACCCTTGGCTTACATACCCACTGACAGATCTCAGTATTAAGAAGTGTACAAACTTGAATGTGAAATGAGAACAGAACTTTGTGTAATCCAGTCATTCATGCATTGCTGTATATAAAGGAAACACTCTACACACGTATCAAGAATTTAAATTCCAAACACTCCGATGATACATTGCCAACAAAAAATTCTAACATTAAGATCAAAAGTGAATTGGAAAAGCTTCCCAAACACAAAGTTTAAATGTAGTATTTTAATTGTATTATTTTCATACATTGAAATATGCAATCCAATGGACATCAACATCAAATGATAAAGAACCTTTGAGATTCCCCTCCTCTAGCAAGAAATTTGATGCTGGCAAAAAATAAAATAAAATAAAACATTAGAACCTAAAATTGCCAAACCCTGAGTAAACAGCCCTTTCTACTTAGAAAGCAACTTAACATTAACTTGAAATGTTGCTGTTCTTGTATCAAAGTTAAGGGTTACCTAAAGGATTTCCCTCACATTTTGGATCTATGCATATGAATTCATTTGTTCTTAAATATCTTCTGTTATTATTTGCCATCAATTTGTTACATGGAAAAAGTCATATCCCACACAAACTGCCCAAAATAAAGTATTATATTAGCATATCTTCTAATATCTAGAAGAAATAAAACATAACCACCAAAGTTATCAAAATGGAAGGGGAAAAGGGTAAACTTTCAACAGACACAGTAAAGAAGTCTTATTTTCTTTGCTCACTTCCTTAAAATTTCCTACAGTCCTATTTGCAGATATAGCTGAATTTTCTACCACAAAGTAAATTGAAACATAAATCATAATGAAAGGTTAAACTCCTGCAACAGAAGCCACTGTCATTTTCAACAATGCCACTATTGTCGAAAGAGTCTCTCATAGATTCTTGGACACACTGGTGAAGCAAGGCTGGGGGGGATAAAAGCATACTTGAAGTAATTTCTCCACCTCTATATTTCAGCTTGTAATGTAACAATACTGCACCTTCAAAGTAGAAATGGCATGTAAAATTTGGTTTTCATTAAATGAGACTGCCTTAACCCCATGCAGCATAGTTGGAACAGAATAAATACATCTGATTCACAGTCAGTCAACCTTCTATTACTCATCTGTGTGAGATGGTCCTGCAGTTTTCCTCAATGAGAGCCTTTTCTTTTAAAACCCCAGGGCATACTGTAGATGCATGCCACGCTCTGGTTTAAATAACTCCAAGAATATTACAATGAAAATAATGGCAGGTTTAGCCCAGGGAACATGCATAAATAAAAATCAAAAGCCTGAGATAAAGAAGTAAAAAAAAAAATCCCTACCACAAGCCCCTACATTATGAATAAATTATAAATCTGTGCAAGGAAAAAACTGAATGCTCTCTGGTGAAAGAATGCTTATTTCTAATTATTTTTTAAAATACATCAAGTTTTATTTTTAAAAACAATTAGGCTTAGGAAACATGCTAAATAAGCAAAATTAAAACATTAAACTGTTATGTATATCAAATTGATCGTTGCACTATGTTAAAAAGGCAAGATGATTCAAAGGGATTTAACAGTCTTTCCAACTGAAGACCCTCCAAAGTCCTCTGAAATGATAGATTATTTAACATTCTTGGAATGATTAAATGTATTTAGCATGCCTCTTTTGGAGTTCTATTATTTAATACAATCCAACTGATTTTTTTTTTTTACCCTAATTAGGTTTCCTTGTACTTGTGAAATGCTCGGCATACACTGTACTGGCAGCTTTAGTTCTACAGCTTCTGTCTTCTGGCTCCTTCCCCCTTCACCCCCCACCCCTACAACCCCCCTCCCCCCAAAAAAAAGATTTCCTTCCCAAATGTTCCCTTCTCTGCATTTGTCAACAGAAACACCCACTGATGGTGTCAAACTGGTAATACCACTGCAGGCTTCCTTACTCCTGTTCCAGTGTCAACGCCAAAAATGCTCAAACCTAAAATAGTACTTTTAATAAAGAAATTTAAAAAATTGCTATGGTACTTAACTATCACGTTCTCGAAAAGACACACACCTTTTCAAAATGCATTATTAATAAACCCTAATTGGGTTGTTAAATATAAGATTATACTACCCCCTTCAACACTAAACATACAGACAGGTAAACATAGCTTCTTCACATTTTATGAATAAAACATTTTAAAACCCTTAAAGAAATTAACAACAAGTTTACATCTAAATGTCATTCGCATATAATTCCGAATAGCCTCGGTGAAGATCTTTTTTTGTAACCCTACAGCAAGAAAGGAACAAGCTGGAAATGTTCCAGCAGATGTTACCTAAAACGAGAATCCTATTCTATACATATTTATGTCTCCCGTTTCAGTCAAATGCTCTCAGACAAATTAATCTATGTAATCTTTCACATTAACTACATAACCATTACGTCCAAACAAACCTAATTCAGATGCACGTAAAGAAATTATTCTGTGTCTGCGAGACTTTCTAAAATCAGCTTACATTTCAGCCAATTAAAATAGATTGTGTTAAACAGAACACTGATCTGCATCTACATAAATATCACAGCATCCGTCTAATCCAAGATAACTAAGGTCAGGTTTTTCTTATTCAGGCATCTGTGCTCTAACACTCAAGTGAAGCGAAAAACAAAACCCTCAAGGAAGATCTGCCTTTACACTGAAATATGTTCACGTTATTTTTTTTCCTCAACGTGGGCACAAGACGAGTCAATACAAGCAGTACCTGTTCGTTCTGGAAGATGGTTCCAAACCCCAGGGTTTAATTTCTATGAGGGTACGAAGGGTACGAAGGTCTGGTAAAGGGCCAATTTTGTTTCCCCTCACTATGCCAGTCGTGAACTTCATAGCAACGTCCGAAACTTGTCCGGGGAAGGCTGGAGGAGACGCAGGGCAGGCGGCGGGTCTCTCGCCCACCCTTTCGGACAGCCAAGGTCAGCAGGGCCGGGGCCGCGGCTCACTGCCCCCGGTAGGACCCGGGCTCCCTCGGAACTCGGGCAGGGGGCTCCGGTGCACAGGCTTCTCCTCCGCACCCGTGGGAAGGGGTTTCCTTCGCCGCAAGCCTAAGGGACCCAGCGCCGCGGGGGCGGCAGAGACACCCCAAAACCCACCGCTGAGGGAAGTCCTGGGGGGTGGCCTCGACCCGCCGCCCCTCCTCTCTATCTCCTCTCCTCACACCCCAGAACACAGCTGCAGCCCCTCGTCGGGGAAGCCCTTCCCGGGATACAATGGGGCCGCTGCGAAGGGGCCACTCCAGCCTGGGGCGCCCTCGTCGCGTCGCCGCCCCTTCTCACATCTGCTCGGGGGAACCGGGTGGGTCCCATCTCTAGGGAAAAGCTGGGTGGTCGCGGGACCGATATGTGGACAAGACCAGGTGGGCAAGCGGCGGCGCAAGTACTCACCCGGCGAGTCCCCCACCTCCAGCCGGGGACCCCACGGTTCCCGAGGCCGCCGTCGCCGCTTTACCTTGCCCAGCGGCAGCAACAACTAATCGAAACCTCCGGCCCCGCCCTCTCACAGAAGCGAACGCGCAGCCTAATTTGCTAACTGCCCCGCCCCAGCCATCCATTCGGGCAAATGGGAAAGCTTCTAAGACCCCGCCTACTTCTAGTAGGAGCCAATGCAGAGAGAGCGCTCGTGCTCGGACTCGGGCTCGCACGCCCCGCCCGCTCCGCTCGCGCTCGAGACTGTTGGTCTCGACTGTTGGTCTAGCCAAAGACTGTTGGTTCCTTGTATAAGCTCGCCTGCACGCGCACACGCGCACCGCACCTCCGCGTACCAGTTAGGTTGCCTCGCCAAGCCCTAGCAACCTGAGTTGGGTGGCTGCGAGGGGCGGGGCCCGAACCTGGAGCGGTTGGTGCGGAGGGAGGGACGCTGGTGGGGGGGGCGCAGATCGTGACTGGGAAAGGGGCGGCTGCAGGGGTGGGGGACCGAGAGGCCCGGGAATCCGCCTGTCACTGCGGAAAAAAAGGGGAATCCTGCCTTCATCGCTGCTATCCTAGTCTCCCTCCGGAGGGACACGTGGATGGGGGGGGGGGGGAGGGGTGGGTCCGAGAAGAGCGGGGAAAGCACGTTTAGAGCGGGAACCGGGGCACTGCTTGGAAATAAATGATGAAAGACGGTTTATCCCTGTCGTTGGTAGAAAACAATATCGAAGTACATTGCTGCTGCTGTCCAACTGTTGCAGCTACCGGTTCATACACACACGCACGTATACACACATTTACACGTACACTCATCCATCAGCCTGCAATCCCTTTGGAGCAAAGAACGAATAGCCTGAGGATTCCTTACACAGCAGCTAGGTGCATTCGAGCGGCTGTTGGAGCAGCAGCAGCGACCCACAGCTCTGCTTTAGTCCAATGCTCCATCACACAAGATTCTCCCCCAGCTGGCATGAAAGCAATGAAGTCATCGCCCAACCAGTAAAAATGTAAAGATCTTAATACCTACCATGGATTGGGTTTCCAATGAGGATAAGAGGTTATGAAATGGAAGGATATACATTTCCAATGCCACTTTTTGAAAATTAAGAATAATTATAATTTTTAAAAGACACCACGGGAAATCTATGTAAAGCTGCATAAAAATTTCCACTTTAAAAAGCAAAGAGGAAAAATAGGTTTTATTCTGTTGGGTTCTTTTTTATTTTTCAGAAAAGAACAGAAAATAAGCAGTGTATGAGGTCATAGCAGCCACCAAATTACAAATATGCAGTACGGTGCTATAATGGGAAATAGATATCTTGAATAAAATTCACAATATATTTCTGTCATGAATCTGGTAACAGTATGTAACAGTATGCTAGGTTTGGCCACACTGTGCTAAGCCAAAGGGGTTTTCTTTTTCATAGTGAGTATTTGATGAGGAAATAAAGGTGCCTGCTTTCTCTTCAGCTTTTCAGGAAGCGTATTAGAAAATTTTACAGGTAAGCATAGTGAATTAACAGTGGGAAAATGGAGTCAGAGGCAACAGCAGAGCTTTGCAAAGTCTCCTGCCTCCTGCAGATGCAAAGTAAGGTTGCTGTGACCTCAAGCTTCACCCACATGGAGCCAGAATTCCTGGGGTAATCATTTCATTTTCATTCCTATGTGTTACATGAAGAATGATTTATCTGTATAGAATCAGAACAAGGAAAAAACAATAACTAAATATCCATTGATGTAGGTCCAGTTTAGTTTTAAGTGGTAATATTAGATCCTTTTTAATGTGCCATCCCAGATATGCAAATATAACTTTTCACCTAGTGACATTTAGTTTAATCTGGTTATGAATAGTGGTGAAGGGTTTCCTGGAGCCACATCCAGGTCAGTTAACTGCAACTTCGGTCAAAATTATATCTTTTCTAGAAGGTTAGTATGAATTAAGAAGTACCATGTTGCCATTTAGCTGAGCTCTTTTCTTATGTAGAAAGAACACTAATATCACTGAATGAATGCTTGCTATGTGCCAAGAACATTACATACATTTAGAGTTGCCAGATAAAATACAGGAGGCCTTTTAAATTTGAATTTCAGATAAACAATGAATATATTCTTTAGTATAAGTATGTATTTTTATTATGGATACATGTGGGAGAAGGCGAGAAGACTAAATATGCTTTCTAATCGTTGTAAAAAATGTTTTTTGAAATGCCCCTCTAGGTCCAGACCCCATAATGCATCAGGATTTAGGAGAAAGTGTAAGACCCAAATCAATGTGTAAATTTCTAGTGTTTGTAGAGAAAGGTGAACATACTTATACAAAAAATTATTTGCTCTTTATCTGAAACTCAAATTTTACTGGACACCCTCTATTTTATATGCTTAATCTGGCAACTCTACATCTATTATTGCTGAGCCTCATGATTTTCTCTAGGACTCTCTGTTAGGTCACCATTTCCAAATGAAGAAATAGTTTCAGAGCCTCCCCACCATCTATTTGCTCCTTCCTCCTTCTAACAGAACCCAAACTGCGTTCACACTCCCAGGGAGGTAAGTGCTGATTAGTCTTAGTTAATCTATGTGTGGCCTAATTAGACTAAAGGAAAGGACTCAGCAACCTATGGTTTGAGAGAAAAGTTTCCCCTCTCTATCCTGTTAGATGAACAAGGAAGCAAGTAGCCTGGTTCCCACTGGCAACCATTTTATGTCTAGAAGGAAAACCAGCCTTAGGTCAAAGCCTATACACTAAGTAAGGCACAGTTGATAAATAGAAATAAAAAAACAAAAGCTTGTTTCTTGATGACGCCACTGAGTTCTTAATTAAACAAATTCTGCCTTTTCTATAGATTTAAAACAGTTTGTGTCAGAGTTTCTATTAGATGCTTCAGAAGCCTGATGCTACAGATGTCAGATCCCATGCATTCTACTCATTAGGGGTCTCAATAATAAATAAACAGGTGGTCATCAAGCTGTAAGACATTTTTATCCTGAATATATGTGGGGCAAGTCTAGAAAACTAAATTGGCCTTCTAATCATTGTCAAAAAGCATTTATGAAGGGCCCATCTGGAACTAGACCTCAAAATGCAATCAAGCTCTAGGAGAAGAGCTTAAGAATCAAATCATTGTGTAAATTTGTAGTGTTTGTATGAAAAGGTGAGCATTAGTTATTCCTTGGCCCTGCTCAGAGCTTAAATCAGACTGTCAGGTTTCACATGTTTTCATTTAAAGTTCATGCCATTTGGGAAAATGTCATTTAAGAAATATAAGTCCAATACCTCATTTTAAATTCTTAAAACCTTTATCCCTGTCCTCCAGGCACTAAGTTTAACCACAAACAGTGTAGCAAGAACAGAAACATCAGCCTTAAAAGACTCAAAAGGGAAAACCACACCAGAATAGAATGCCATATGAAAATGGATGGTCGGCAAGGCAGAATAGCTTGGTGGCTAAAACCATAGACTCAGGAGCCAGATCACCTACAGTCAGATGCTAACTCCAGTTATGTCCTTGGAGAAATTGCTGAACTTCCACTTTGTAAAATGGTGATAATAATAGTGCTCACCTCATAGGTCTTTGTAAATGATTATTTTTGAGATACTTAGCAGAGTACCTAGCCCAAGGTAAGGGCTTTATAAAGATTAGCTCTCATTGAGCATGCTCAATTCCATGGGCTATAAACTAAAGCAGTTTATTTTTCTTCAATCACTACTTTGAACCATGTTTTTATGGCAAATCTGTCTTTTGTGTCCCTTCACATCTTGGACAATTATAAGAATTCTTAGGTCTTTTTCAACTATTAAAAATCAATCTAGTTTAAAACTCAAGTGTTGTGTTTGATTTAAATCCCATCCACTCCTACCACCACCCTTCCCACCATCATCATCTGCCAGGCTTGTGACTCAAGGCACCTAAAGTGACCATTTTCAATCCACTAGGGTGGCTGTTGACCCCTTGGTCTACCTTAGTCTCATATGCCCAGATCATCTGAGATCAGCGGTATCCAAGGAGCTAGAGTGGGGCAGTGTTAATGGATGCTGTTACTGATGTAGAAGGGCTTTTTCTTTCAAAAAGAATATCTAATAAGATAATGGAGATATGCTGTCTTTGGCTTTGTAAAAAGCAAGCCAGATAATTTTATAGATAACAGCAGAAAAAAAAAACCAGTGAGAATTGGGGCACATAATGGAGAGTAGTGCTTGCATTTTTCCATTTGGCCTAAATCATTTAATACTTCTGGACACCCTGACCTGATGATTTTAGGTATAAAGGCAGTGGTAACATCCAGTTCGTCTTTCTCCCCAACACCCTGCACGATAAATTATGAAAGAGGCTTAAAACCAGGGAATATGTCAGAAATACTTGTTGTTTCAGATGCCTGTTTCAAGTGAACATTCATAATTCTACATAGGTTTTAAATATGAATAAATTAATTTTTTCACGTGTTACTGTCTTAATGCTGATGAAACCAATTTCCCTAGATAAACAGTAGTCTATTGATCTTTCTTTAGAAATAGTATAAATCAACATTTGTTGAGAGCTTACTGTGTGCCAGGCATTATGCTGAACATTTTGCATGGATTATCTCATTTAATCCTTACAATACCCCTATGCTCTCCTGTAGTAGTTTTAAGATATCCTCATGAATTTTCCCCCCTCCTCTCTTCAAAATGTAGAGTTAAGTTCTCCTCCCCTTGAGCGTGCGCTATACTCAGTGACATACTTCTAACAAATAATACATGGCAGAAGTGATGGTCATAGGTGGTCATGACCTGAGACTAGGTCATAAAAGGTGTTGCAGTTTCCTCCTTACTCTCTCACTTGAATCACACAGTATAGTGGGAAGCCAGTTACATGTTTTGAGGACACTCTCAAGACACCCTACGTAGAGATCAGGGGGTGAGGAACTGAAGCATCCTGTCAACAGCCAGTAAGAAACTGCCCACAACCATGTGAGTGTGCCATCCTGGGTGCAGATCTTTCAGCCCCAGTTAAGCCTTCAGGTGACTGCAGTCCTGTCTGACATCCTGAATACAACCTCATGAGAGACCCTGAGCCAAAACCACCCAACTAAC